TTTTTTCCATTTGATATTTTTTGCTTATTTGTTAAAAATCAGCTGTTTGAAGGTGTGTGGATTAATATCTGGGTCTTCGATTCAATTCCATTGGTCTTCCTATCTGTTTTTATGCCAATAACGGGCTATTTTCAGTAGTGTAGCTCTGTAGTAAACCTATTTTATAACCTAGATAATTTACAGAATTTCCTCTTTGTACTTTTTCAGGAGAAATTTATAATCCCCATTTTGGCAGAACTTTATTTCTTCAAACATTCTCTCTAAAGTATTTGTGTTTGAATCAAATAACAAAATATCATCTGTGTAATGGTAAATTGCAGATTTAGGAAATTTTTTATGTATTATTTCCTATGGCACAGTGTGGGGCTGTTGAGCATTCCTTGCGGGAAGATGGTCCACTGTTAACTCCTACTAGGTTGAGGATTATTATAAGTAAGCACTATGAAAGCAAATTTTTCTCTATCCTTTTCTTGTAAAGGTATAGTGAAGAAACAGTCTTTTAAATCAATAGTTATAAGTGGCCATCCTTTTGGTAATAGACAAGGCAGAGGAATTGTAGAGGGCCCATGAATTACCTTGTTGACAGCTCTTAGATCTGTTACCATTCTCCATTTTCCAGATTTCTTTTAAACAACAAATACAGGAAAATTCCAAGGGCTGGGTGATTCTTCAATATGGTTAGCATCTAGCTGTTCCTGTAGCAGCTGTTCTAAAGCCTGCTGTTTGTCTTCTGTTAATGGTCATTGTTTGACCCATATTGGTTTCTCAGTTAACAATTTTAAAGGTAGGACTGTTGGTAACTCTAAATGTTTGCTGGTTTCTTTGGGTTCTTGTACAGCCTGAATGGCTGGTGACATTTGTGTGTAGTACTTTATAATATCCTTCCCAGAAACATAAGTTTCTGCAACTTCAGGAATGTTAATCTGTATATTCCATTGCTGCAGCAGGTCACAACCCCATGAATTCACTGTGATATTAGCCACATATGCCCTCAACTTTCCTCTCTGTTCTTTTTGCCTTATGCATCCAACCATCTCATGCTTTGTTTCACTTGAAAAAGAATTCCAATTCCTAGGAATTGAACATCTGCCCTTTTTTCCTTTTCCTGATTCTTTTTTAATTAATTAATTAATTATTTTTTATTTTTCCATTCAAAAATTTACACTTCCTCCCCTCCTCCCATTCCCCTCCCACTCCACCATTCACTCTTCTCCCTCCACCTCCCTCCTTAAGAGAGGGCAGGGAACCCTTCCCTGTGGGAAGTCCAAGGCCCTCCCCCCCTACATACAGGCCTAGGAAGCTTTGCATCCAAATAGACTAGGGTCCCAAAAAGCCAGTACATGCAATAGAAATAAGTCCCAGTGCCTTTATCAATGTCTTCTCAGTCAGCCCCCAGACTCTTCAGAGAGTCTGGTTTTATAGCATGCTCATTCAGTCCCAGTCCAGCTGGATTTGGTGAGCTCCCCTTAGAACAGGCACACTGTCTCAGTGGGTGGACCAACCCTTCATGGTCCACACTTTCTTGCTCACCTCCCTCCTTCTGCTCTTCAACTGGACCTTGGGGGCTCAGTCCGTTGCTCTGATGAGGAACATCTGCCTTTTTGAAGAGGCCAGATTGGATGCCAAGATTCTGGAGTAATGATTCATCTGCAACTGTGTCTAGTAATCCCTTAACTACAATGTTATTTATATGCACTCTTAGCTTTGGTCTTTGATCATTTAAAGAAGTCTGCCAGAATATAAGTTTCCTATTTCTTATTGGAATTTTTGATTCATCCTCTATGTTTATTCCATCATCCAGAACTGTATGGTTTTTTGCAGCAGACATTGCATTTTAAAGTTTTTCTGGTGAGACATGTCCTCCACAGTGAATGGAAATGACTGGACCACATTTGACTTGGGGGCCTGTGAGAGGTCCCCCAAGGAGTTTCCCAATGGTATTGGGTTGCCCTGTCTGTCTTTTGTTGATCTGGATTCATTGGTCCAATGTCGACCTTTGCCACGCCTTCAACATAATCCAGAAGATTGATACTTTTTATTTTTGCCATTCCTAGAGGAGACATTATTTCTACAATCCCTTCTCACCTGTCCTGTCATGCCACATTGAAAACAAGGAGTGGCACTATTAGGCGGTGTGACCTTGTTGAAATCAGTGTGTCATTAGGGGTGTTCTTTGAGGTCTCAAATCCTAAAGCCCCACCCATTGTGGTACTCTCGTCCTGTTGCCAGTTGATCCAGATATCCACTATGTTTACTTCCATGATGATAATGAACTAAACCTCTGAACTGTAAATAAGCCCCAGTTAGAAGTTTTCTTTTATAAGATCTGCTGTGGTCATGGTGACTCTTTTTTTTAAATTATAAACTGTTTGTCCTATTTGTTTAGGCTTATTATTAACTAGCATTTAGAGCTTGAATTAACCCATAATTATTATCTATGTTTAGCCATGTGAGTTTGTACCTTTTATCAGTAAGCCATTCTCATCTTGCTTGCTCCACACCTGGTAGATGTCTGCAGACTGAGCCTTTTCGATTCCCTGAATTTTCCTAGCCTGGTTGCCTTACCTATACTTCCTGGCTGGATACTGGCAAATCAGCTTTTTATTAAACCAATATGAGTAACAAATCTTTACAGGGTGCAAGAGCATTATTCCACAGTGCTTTCCCTGTTTTTCTTTTCAAAGTAGAAACTGTAAATATAATCTTTGCTCAGCTTCTTTCTAACCATTATCAATAACAACTTGTAACCAACGCACAATGCAAAGAGAAACATTCATAATCCATGTTGGGGGGAATGTGGAGGTATTTTTCTAGGCTACTTTTTTTTTGAAGGGGTCACTGATAATCTTATATGGACCTAAAGAAAATTTAGGATTATGGTCAAATCCTGACTGGAGTATAATGTGAGCTTGGATTATCTCAGCCAGCAGTCTGAAGCTGGTCTGGATGTAGAACTCAGACAAAACTGCAACAGAATGTTAGATTATCGGAGTCATCTGTTCCTGTTTGAGATTTTTCAGGGTGTGTGTGGGGGTCTTCCTTTATCAAACCTTATTTTTCTTAACCCAGAATGAATCCACAGCCTCTCATTTACTGTGGAAGTAAAAGCAAAGCCACTTCTACAAAGTAACATACCTTTTGACTTAAATCTTAAAATCAAGTGTGGGGTTTAATGTGTGATTTTAAGTTTTAGAAGTGTTTCTTTTACATATGAGGGTGCCCTTGTATTTAGGGCATAGATGTTCAGTATTAAGATTTTCTCTTGATGGATTTTTCTGTGACTAATAGGAAACGTCCTTCTTTCTCTCTTTTGATTGATTTTAGTTTGAGGTTTATCTTATTAGATATTAGGATAGCTACCTCAGCTTGTATTTTAGGTCCATTTGACTGGAAAAATGTTTCCCAACCCTTTACTCTGAGGTGATGTCAGTCTTTGAGGTTGAGGTGTTTCTTGTATGCAGCAGAAAGATGGATTCTCTTTTTGTATCCAATCTGTTAGCATGTATCTTTTTATACGTGATTTTAGTCCATTTATATTAAGGGATATTAATGACCAGTGATTGCTAGTTCCTTTTATTTTAGTTTTCATTGTTGGTTATATTATTTTGTGCCTTTCCCCTTCTTTGGGATTTGCTGCTGTGAAATCATTTATTGTCTGTGTTTTTGTTGATGTAGCCAACTTCCTTGGGTTCAAATTTTCCTTCTAGTACTTTGTTTAGTGGCTAGGTATTAGTTAAATCTGGTTCTGTCATGGAATATCTTGTTTTGTTCTTCTATGGTGATTGAAAATTTTGCTGGGTATAGTAGGCTGAGCTGGCACCCATGGTCTCTTAATGTCTGCATAATGCTTGTCTAGGACCTTCTGGATTTCATACTTTCCATTGAGAAATCAGGTGTAATTCTGATAGGTCTGCCTTTATATGTTACTTGGTCTTTTCCCTTTGCAGCTCTTAATATTCTTTCTTTATTCTATATGTTTAGTCTTTTGATCATTATGTGGCAAGGGGACTGTTTTTTGATCCACACAACAGAGCCTGAACTATGGTGTTTTTAGATTTCCTATGACAATAAAAGTAATCCAAAAATTTTAACTTTAGCTTCAGGCAGACTCTTTGGACAAGGGCAAAAGCAGCCACTATTTTCACCAAAATATCATAAGACCAGTCTCTAGACAACACACTAACATCCTTACCCTCTGAAACCTCTTGATTCCCAGAGTTATCAAATCAAAATAAGCACCACTGTCTTCCATGCTCCTACTAGTATGGCACATTAAACAGTACTTAAAACATCCAACTGCTTTTCTAATCCTCAGTCCCAAAGTCCACATCACTCCAAACAAATACATAGTCAGGCCTGTTACAGCAATATTCCAGTCCCTTGTATGAAATTCTGCCTTAGTTGGGGTTTTTATTTCTGTGAAGAGAGAACACGACTACAGCAATTCTTTTGAAGAAAAACATGTAATTGGGGTGGTTTGCTTAAAGCTTCAGAGGTTCAGTCTATTATCATGATGGAGATCATGGCAGCATGGAGGCAGACATACTGCTGGAGGAGGTGAGAATCCTACCTCTTGAAGGCAACACAGGAAGTCAGCTGTAATACTGGTCATTATTCTGAACCTTGGAAACCTCAAAGCCTGCCCCCACAGTGATACACTTCCTCAAAAATGGACATACACACCCCAACAAGCCCACATCTCACAACAGTGGCACTCCTATGAGATTACAGGGATCAATTACATTCTAATTACTACAGGGAAAACAACAACAACAAATCCAAAGTGACACTAAAACAAAGTCATATGAATATCAGGAAAGGCAGATTAAGACTCTTAATCCTCCATGCTGCCCTAGGTACAATGTCCATCATAAAGAATAGAAATGATAACTAATGTTGACATCAATATGGGGAAAGGTCATACACTGCTGTGGGAGTGGGAAGTAGAGAATCAACTTTGATAATCAGTGTATATGTTCTCAAATAAATACATAAATGAAAGAAAAAAAAAACACAAGTGTGACAGCTGCCTCATCCTGGGAGGGCAATGGCTAATGAACCTGGAAACCTAAGGATCACTGCACAGCTTGTAGACAATTCAAGGGAGGTTAGAAGTCTTTCATGCCACTCACTACATCCTCCAAGAAGCTTGTCTTGTCTAGTCCAGACAGCTTGACTGGTGGCTGCCTGATGGCTGGTCTGAGCATCTTCTATGCAGCTCAGCTTGTCTGACAGTGACAAGTCCTTACTGGTTATATATGCCTGAGGCAAGAGGGTACTTGATCAGATTGGCAGTTTCTGTGACTTTCTAAAGCTATTTTGTCTATTTCTAAGCTTTTGCAACGTCTCGGATGGAATGAACACCTCCCATTATAGCATTCTGTTCCTTTATCTCTCTTTTAACACTCTATATTTTAAGAAGATTCCACCTAGATGGAACGATTTAATCTCAGAGAAAACTCAGACACAACAATTATCCTGGGCATGAATTCCAAAGACTTTACATCCTTTCCAATGAGCAACTGCCCATCATATCCAATACTGTTTTATTCAGTGTATCTAGGAAGTGATATCAACATAGATTACCATGAACTGAAATATTAGTAAATGAAAATGTGATGCATATTGATATAACCTGGTATATCACTCAGGTATAAATAAAAATGTAAGTGTAAAATCAAGATGTAAATGTAGGCAACTGGAAATTACCATGAGTACAAGTACCTAAGTCCCCAAATTCAACCATCATGTTTTCTCTTATATGTGGGTCTCAGTTTCAAACATTTTGCATTGTGTGTTTAAGTAAGAACAGGAGCTAGAGATGGACCATTAATGAAGAGATGCAGGAAGAGAGTGAAGAGTAGAATATAGGTAATATGAAATTAGAGATTGGGAATCCTGGGGGATGAATATTTCAAATATGTACTGCAGTGGTGGGAAGAGATTGGGCTGCTGAAAGTCAACAAAATGAAATGATTATGAAGAAGCTATATGGGAACCTATCATTTTGCAACCCACATTACAGAAAAAAAAATAAACAGTACGAGGCAACAGTAGAACACATATGCTATAAAAGAATGGGACACTGAATTAAAGCCAACACAATAGAGAAGAATTCATGTCATGGTAAAAAAACATGGCAGTTAGTCACCTTCTTGCTATTTGTATGGTTTGATTCTAGTATGAAGATTCTGAGAGTGAATAAAAGATAAGAATTTATCAGAGCATTTTCTTTCATGATGAATTTTCTTTTATCTCTGCAGTTTCAGCAAGATGTAAAGAATTTGTAAAAATCAATGCATTTGAGGAGTGTAATTGCCAATGAACAGCAAGACATGAGGATTATATATGAGATACCTTTATATGGTTTCTCAGAATTATGAATTTTGTCATGTACAGAACAATTAAAGAAAAAAAACTAAAGGTTTTTGTCATATACTTTGTTACTTTATATGACTTGTTATTTTTTGTTTTAAGACAGGGTTTATGTAGTCTTGGCTGTTCTGGAACTCAATATATATGTGGTGATAATTTCCTCCAACTAACAGAGATCTTGCTTATGTTTCCTGAGTGCTGGGATTAAAAGGGTATACCATATTGCCTGGCAATATTATGAATTTTTGGATGTTGAACAAGATACAAGTTTTTATTACATTTTTTACTTGGTGCTGAAGAAATGGCTTATTGGGTAAGAGTACTGATTTTCTTAAAGACCGGTGTTCAGTTCCCTAATTCCAGCTTCAGGACATCTGATGACCCCTCTGCTTGCATCAGGCATATATTTAGTTCACAGACATACTTGCAGCAAAGCAAGCATACACACAAAAATAAAAACTTTCCTCACAGTTTCATTTGCATAATTTTAATTTAACATAAACTCTAAGGTATTTTTTTAAAATTTAAACTTTCATTAAAGGCTTCCAAATGTTTATCTTTATGTCTCTATTTTGTATAGTGTTGTGATTTGTAAGCAGAGTACCAGAAAATGCTATGTCTTGTTATTTACAACAGTATGTTTCTCTCCAGCATGAATTTTTTGATGTCTTTTAAGATTTGACATCTGAATAAAAGAAAAGTCACAGTCTTTGCACTTGTGTGGTTTCTCTCCAGTATGAATTTTCATATGTGCTTTAACATATGAGCGCCTAGTAAAAGATTTGCCACACTCTTTACAACTGTAAGGTCTCTCTCCAGTATGAACTCTGTGATGTGTCCTAAGATGTGAGTCCTGGGTAAAGGATTTGTTACATTTCAAACACTTGTAAGGTTTCTCTCCAGTATGAATTTTCTGATGTGCTTGAAGAGTTGAGCACTTAGTAAAAGATTTTCCACAGTCCTTACATATGTAAGGTCTCTCTCCAGTGTGAACTCTCTGATGTATTCTAAGATTTGAACGCTGGATGAAGGATTTGTCACATTCTCCACATTTGTAGGGTTTCTCTCCAGTATGAATTTTTTGATGCTCTCTAAGAGTTGAGAATTCAGTAAAAGATCTGTCACATTCCTTACATCTGTAAGGTTTCTCTCCAGTGTGAACACTCTGATGTCTTGTAAGATGTGAGTACTTGATAAAGGATTTGTCACATTCCCTACATTTGTAAGGTTTCTCTCCTGTATGAATTTTCTGATGTGTTCTAAGAGTTGAATTCACAGTAAAGGATTTGTTACATACCTCACATTTGTAAGGCTTCTCACCAGTATGAGTTCTGTAATGTCTTTTAAGATGTGATAATTCAAGGAAGGACTTACCACATTCTTTGCATTCATTAAATTTCTCTAGAGAATGAGTTTTCTCATGTCTTCTAAATGATGAATAGTGGGTAAAGGATCTGTCACAGTCATTGCATTTGTAAGGCTTCTCTCCAGTGTGGAGTCTGTAATGGTTTTTAAGATGTGAAAGCTGATGAAAGACCTTGTCACATTGTTGACAAGTATAATGCTGATCAGCAGCATGGATTTTCTGATGTCTCCTGAAACTGGAACAGTGGGCAAAGGATTTGTCACATTCCTTACACTTGTAAGGCTTCTCTCCAGTATGCATTTTCTGATGGCTTTTAAGTGCTGACAACTGAGGAAATGACTTTCCACATTCTTTGCATTTGTAAGGTTTCTCCCCAGTATGAAGTCTTTGATGTGTTTTTAGATTTGCACACTGGTTAAATGATTTGCCACAAAAGTGGCACTTATAGGGTTTTTTCCCAGTATGAATTCTCTGATGTACAGTGAGGCTTGAGGCAGTACTGAAGCATTTCCCACATTTCTCACACTGGTGTGGTGTATCTCCGATGAAGATTGGTTGTTGCAAAAGACTGTAAGCAGAGCTGAAATAATCATCATATTCTTCCTGCCTGTTGTCTTTCTTTGCAGTGTGGAGACTCTGATCTTGAGTAATGTTGGAATTCAAATTTAAAGATTTCTCGCAGTCTTTAGATTTGCAAGGATCTTCTCCAGTGTGCATGCTGTCATGTCTATCTGGGTTTGATGAGTCAATAGAGGCATCCCTGTGATTACTGCAGGTGCCATTTTTAGAGCTTTCTGCAGGTTCACTTGTTCCAGAAAATGCACCTTTGGAGGGGTCATGGAGCATTTTGTCAGGCTGATTACACTGAGAAAACTCTTTTTTATTATTCATATGTTGATGGGCAGGATCACATTTGCAATAGTTCTCTGAAAATGAGCACAAGTCATATTAACAGGGCTTGTTCCAAGATTAAACATTTGATAAATGCCTCCCTAAGTTCCCTTTTAAAATAAACGAACATGGGACTATTTAGACTAGAACTCCCAGAATTTGATATCTTTCATTTGTTGTAATTGTATGGATTCTCAGAAAAAAAACACATGACAGCCTTCAAAGGTCAGTGCTTTATAACAGATAGCCCATCTTTGTTGAAAATATCTAACTTGGAAAACCATGGCAAAAATAATGAGGGTCTGCCCATAATTAGCTTTGGGATACAGCTCACTGACTGATTTTTATTTAGAAGACAAGTCTATATTTTAAGCTAGTTTTTTTTGTGAAATTGATGAAGAAGAGTGTAAGTCAATTCCAGGTTCATGGTATTTGTACTTACTAAAAAGATGGTTCAATTCCATTTAAGATTAAAGAACTACTAAAAGCATCAGGAGGTTTATTTTATTTTTTCTAAAACAAGGCATTAGATTCTTCAAATGTGATGGGTGGAAAGCAAGTACTCTGCCGGATAGCAGAGGTTCTAGACTATTTGAGGCGGGGCTGCCATGGTCTATCCTTCACTGCTTGATTTCCACACACTGCAGTGCTTCTTAACTTTACTCATAGGGTTACTCTCAAGTCCACTTTTTCTGCACATCGACTCCTGAGTTTATTTCCTAGAAGTCTGTCTGTGTGTTCTCCACTGGAAAGAAAATGAAGGATGTAATATGAAGATATGCATACAAGGAAGACAATTAGAAAATAATTCTATTTCTTTTTTTAAAAAATATTTATTTATTATGTATACAATATTCTGTCTGTATGCATGTCTGCTGGCCAGAAGAGGGCACCAGACCTCTTTACAGATGGTTGTGAGCCACCATGTGGTCGCCGGGAATTGAACTCAGGACCTCTGGAAGAGCAGGCAGTGCTCTTAACCACTGAGCCATCTCTCCAGCCCAATAATTCTATTTCTTGGACTCACATTAAGCTTATAATTCTAGTCTTATATCGTCATATTCAAATAAAATTGCATTTTGCACTAGTATTAAGTCACCATAATTCAGGTGCAATAGACACAATGTCTTCTAATAGTTACAAAAGGCATGATGCATCCTGGGATCAGAACACTATATTAAGTTAAATGATCAGGAATTCATGCAAGTGTGGTATGGGAAGACCGTCTGTATATGTGTTGCTTTTATTGGTTAATGAATAAAGAAGCTGGCTTGGACTGTGTTAGGGTAGAGTAGAGGTAGGCAGCAAAAACTAAACGGAATGCTGGGAGAAAGAAGGCTGATTCAGGAGAAGCCATGTACCCCACCAAAAACAGACACTGGGGATGGAACTTTACCCAGTAAGCCACAGTCATGTGACAATACACAGATTAACAGAAATGAGTTAAATTAAGATAAAAGAGTTAGCCAGAAATACACTTAAGTCAAGTGTACACTTGGCCAAGTAGTGATTTAAATAATACAGTTTCTGTGTGATTATTTGGGGTCTATGTAGCTGGGAACAAATGAGCAGCCTTCATCAACACAAGTGGAATTATATACTGCAACAACATTCATAGCTCTTACTTTCTTGTTCACTGGAAGCCATCAGTATTGTCCTGGTTATTCTAGCTCACCCTAGTTGTGGCTACTCCCTCCTTTCCACATCCCAAAGCAATCTCATTTTCTTCAGACAAGTGTCCAGGCCTACCCTGTATATAATAATCTATGTGTTCTGTGTGGTAACCCATGACCCATGCATGATTCATGCTAGAATTTTAAAAAATACAGACATCTAACACAGTACTCTGCCCACTACATGAAGAGAATACAATGTAGAATATAGAAATGATTTCACAAGTTATTTCCTATCAGAATTTTTAGCATATTTAGAAAGCATTATCACTTTGCATAACTCTAGTTTTTCCCACAATTCAAACAATGTAAAATATAACAATGGATGTTAGGATCCAGGCTTTATGTTGGCCTGCTCTGTCAACTGGCAGGATGTATCCACGGACATTCAGGCAAATACTTAGTGAGCCCAGGAGTCCTATAGCCATACCTCATACAGCATGCATTAAATGGCTGTGTAAGACTCTGTACACATGCACAAAGGGACCTTTTTGTGCAAGCTCTGTCTTCCCCCTACCCTTTCTTCTCCATCATTTCTCTTTCATGGACATTTGTCACGATTCCCCTTTTTACTCCTCTTTCTACCTATTGGATAGGTAGATTAACATAGTAAAAATGGCAGCCTTACCAAAAGCAATCTACAGATTTTATACAATCCCCATCAAAATACCAACTCAATTCTTCATAGACCTCAAAAGAACAATACTCAAAACAACTCTGAGATTCCATTTTATACCTGTCAGAATGTCAAAGATAAAAAAATATTTATTTTGATGACATCTTATGCTTGAGAGGATGTGGGGTAAATGGAACACTTCTGCATTGCTGGTGGGAGTGCAAACTGGTACAGCCCCTTTGGAAATCAGTATGGTAATTTCTCAGAAACAACCTACCTCAAGACCCAGCAATACCACTTTTGGGTATATACCCAAAGGATGCTCAATCATACCACAAGGTCATGTGCTCAACTGTGTTCAAATCAGCATTATTTGTTGTAGCAAGAACCTGGAAACAACCTAAGCACCCCTTGACAAAAGAACGAATAAAGAAGATGTGGTACTTTTACACAATGGAGTACTACACAGATGAAAAAAATAATGACATCTTGAAATTGGTGGGTAAAATGATTGACCTATAAAACATCATGTTGAGTGAGGTAACTCAGAACCAGAAAGACAAATATAATATATACTCACTCATAAGTGGATTTTAGAAATAAAGCAAAGAAAAACCAGTCTAAATTCACAATCCCAGAGAACTTAGGCAAAAAAGAAGATTCTAAGAGAGACCTACATGGATCTCATTGACATGGGAAGTAGGAAAAGATAGAATCTCCTGAGTAAATTGGGAGCTTTGGGAACATGGAAGAAAGTAGAAGGGGAGGGGAAGAAGGGAGTGGAAAAAATACATAGCTCAATAAAAACAATAAAAAAGGAGAAAAATAATAATACTCAACTTCATATGAAAAAACAAAAAACCCAGGATAGTCAAAACGATCCTGTACAATAAAGGAATTTCAGGAGGTATCACCATCTCTGACATGAAGCTCTATTATAGAGTTGCAGTAATGAAAACAGCTTTGTACTGGCATAAAAACAGACAGGTTGACCAATGGAATCGAATTGAAGATCCGGATATTAATCCATACATCTATGAAAATCCACACATCTATGAACACCTGATTTTTGACAAAGAAACTAAAAATATACAATGGAAAAAAGAAAGCATTTTCAACAAATGGTGCTAGCATGAATGCCAGCATGTAGAAGAATGAAAATTGATCCATATCTATTCCCATGCACAAAACTCAAGTCCAAATGGATTAAAGACCTCAATATAAATCCAACCACACTGAACCTGATAGAAGTGAAAGTGGGAAGTAGCTTCAATGCATGAGCACAGGAGATTACTTCCTAAATATAACACCAGTAGCACAGACACTGAGAGCAAAAATAAATTGGAACTCCTAGAACTGAGAAGCTTCTATAAAGCAAAGGACAGAGTCAATAAGACAAAAAGGCAGCCTACTGAATGAAAAAATATCTTCAACCCCACATCAGAGGACTGATCTCCAAAATATATAAAGAACTAAAGGGAAAAACACCCTCAAGAAATTAGACATCAAATACCAAATAATCCAATTTAAAAATGTGGTACAGATATAAACAGAGAATTCTCAACAGAAGAATTTCAAATGGCCACAAGACACTTGAGAAAATGTTCAACATCCTTGGCAATCAGGGAAATGCAAATCAAAACAATTCTGAGATACCATCTTACACCAGTCAGAATAACTAAGATCAAAAACATTCTAAACAGAATGTGGAGTAAGGGGAACACTCCTCCATTGCTGGTGGAAATGCAAACTTAGTACAACCACTTTGGAAATCAGTATGGCGGTTTCTCAGAAAATCAGGAATCAAACTACCTCAAGACCTAGCAATATCACTCTTGGGCATAAATACAAAGGATGCTCAATCATACTACAAGGGCTTTTGTTCCTTTTTAAGCAAGCTCCATCTGCTCCCACCCCCTCTTCTGTAGCACTTCTCTTTCCTGGTCAACTGTCACAAATCATACTTTTATCTCTCTATCAGTAAATTCCCATGTGGGTTTGTTGTATTCCATGACTCATTTCCCAGCCACAGCTACACAACTACATTTGGTGTTGTGACTTGCTAGGCTTTTTTCATGGTCCCTCTCACCTGCCACTCTGACATCCAAAGGGGCTTACTAGTTTGCATTTCCACCAGCAATGCAGGAGTGTTCCCTTTACTCCACAACCTCTCCAGCCTAAGTTATCAGTGTTTTTGATCTTGGCCATTCTTACAGGTGTAAGATGGAATTTCAGAGTTGTTTTGATTTGCATTTCT